TGCATTTTTTCTAAAAATATAAATCATTGATAAACATACCTAAAACATTGTGTATCATATGACCTTTTCACGTTTCCTGGTGAGGAAGGTTATGGGCTTAAAAAAACACCATTGCAAGATTTCAAGATGGCCGCAGTTTTCCAGATGGCCGCCATTGTTTAAGAAAAATTGGTCAAATTTACTAATTATATTCCAAATCTTTACATAAAATATCAAAACTGTGGTGTCCACAAAATAGACATAGCATGAATTATACAAAGTAGGCACATTTTCATTTAGTTATGGCATTTGGTTAAATTTGGGGGATGGTAAAGCAGTCCATTTTCAAATATTCAACATGGCCACCATGAAATGCCTATTTTCATGAGGTAGGCTTTTGTGCACTTAAATAATCAAAAAAAAAATTATTACCAAGCTCACAACATATTTGTGCTAGATGCTAGATTTTACATGATGCTTCATACAACTTCTTCAAAATGTCCACCATTTTCAAGATACCCGCCGTTTTCAAGATGGCTACCATCATTTATGAAAAGTGTTCGAATTTGCTCATTTTATTCCAAATCTTTACATACAAAATCAAAACCATAATGTCCATATGACTATTATGGAATGGATTATACAAAGCAGTCATTAATTCATTACATTTTGGCATTGGGTTAAACTTCAGTGATATTTTAGCAGTCATTTCTTAAATATTCAAAATGACTCACTGCCATGAAATGCAAATTTCCATAACTTGGGATTTGATTCAGCTAAATTATCAAAAAAAAAAAAAAAAATTTGTGTCCAAGCTCTCATACATATTTGTGCTAGATGCTACATGAGGCTTAATACATCCCCAAAATAATTGTATCCAAAATAATTGTAGGGTATGTGCTATTACTGCAACTTTTCACTTATAATAAACAGTTATTGGATTTTCCATTATTTATATGTACTAACACATGTTAAGTCAAGTCAAAGTTAATACTGTGCTTCTTGTTGTGAACCTTTGTGCGCGATTGTCACAGTAAAAAGAAATCCCATAATTTGGAAATATGTAGACAAAAAAAGATAATTTATCTTTTTGATCTATCAAATTTAATGTATTTACCAATACCAAAATGTCTGTCATATTAAAAACAGGAACCTATTTTTATTTGAAGTGCATCTGTCCATATAACCCACTGCAAATCCATGATGCATTTCTGCTGTTTACATTTATCAAGTTGACTTCTCAGTAAAATAGACATTACATGGTGGCCATGTTGAATATTTAAAAATTGACTGCTTTACCATCATGTACAAAGGTTGGCAATTTTACCCTCTTACTGGCACTCATCCTTTCTTTAAATTTGATGGGCCTTTGTAGGATTAAATACATTTTTATTATGATTATTATTTTTTTTTGGGGGGGGGGGGTTGGAGGGGTATTTATCATCATTATCATTGGTAGTAGCGTTAATATTGTTTTTACAAAACGGTTATTCACGTTCTTCTTTGCAGACTACAGCTTCGGCATACAGCTTTTTTAGTCACTTCTACAGTTCCTCCATCACTGCTTACAGATACAGCCGCGGGTGCATAAGAAAGTCACAATGTACCAGCCAGGAGCTGCAGGGAAATACTTGCACGGGAAGCGGCGACGGTAAAGCCTGCAAGCATTGCTGTAGTACCAATTACTGTAATAGTGGAGTCTTGGACACGTCCCAAGCTAGCGTCAACAACAACAACAACAATAGAGGCTGCCGTTCCCGGAGTGCTTGGTTTAACGTCATCTGTGCACATTTGTTATTTGTCTTTGCCAGGAATTAAAGGAGCAGATATTAAGAGTTAGATAGATTGATAGATAGATAGATAGATTGATAGATATACTTGACATTTAATATGGAATATTTTAATTTCAAAGGTATACCTACATAAAATGCGTTCTTTAAAAAACTAAGATCTCATATAAGATTTGAGAATGGAGAAGTTCGTAGTCAGTTGTGTCATCAAGATTTTCAAGTTATTCGTGTTCCAAACATTATCTTAAAGAGACATGTGCAAACCAGGTTTGTTTGTATATATATATATATATATTATTCTTAAAACCCCAAAATATAAAAAAAAAAGAAAAAGAAACTATATCTTATAAAGAAGAAGGAGATAGAACAGGATGCCAATCACGAACTTCACTTGCTGAGATGTGAGAAATAATAGCAAAATGCAATACACGATATACGAAAAACATGCAAATGAAAAACATACTTTGATTTGAATCTCTATAAATGTTTTTTAACATATTACGTCACACATTGAGAGCCATTTCTGACCTAACACTCTGACCCATTTACATACAGCATAGACTGCAAGCAGAAAAACCTGTCGAAATATTATTTTTCGACTGGAAGCGGATGTATATGTTAAAAAATATTAAACGGCTCCGAGGTTCCTGCAGCGACGGTGGAAGCGGGGGGACCATCAAGGAATTATAGCGACAACGCTTTTTAAGTGAGATCACCCATATTTAGTCGGTGGATCAGTTAGTATGCGGATTATCTGTTCTGAATGGGCTCTTAGATGCCATGCGTATCATGCGATAATCCAGAGCCTAAAGAACACAAAAGTTCAATAGTGGTGGAAGCAGCACTTTTTTCTCCTTAGCCAAACACAATAAAATGTGGACGTGTAATCGATTCCTAGAGACCATTCATAATCAAATATACAGGTAAAAATACCATATGAGGAGGAAGCAGCGTCGTCATCCTTATAGCAAAGTCCAAATGAAAAACACTGTCAAAAAACGAGTGGACAAAATTATAAACAGGTGTTACATTGTTAAGTTAGCACTTCAGTGTACATATGATAATCACCATCCACTTCCTCATGTTCATTGTGACCAGGTTCTCCACTAACTTCCGTGTTGGCTCTCACTGTCTCCTCTATTTGTGTTACAATAGAGGTGAAGTCTGGCCGCTCCTCTGGCTCCCATGACCAGCACTTCAGCATGAGCTGGTACCTGGAATGGAAGAGACGACAGAGTAGAAACAAAATGGATACAAGCAAGACAACAAGAACGGGATCCGAATAATTGGGACCGCCACTAGCCACCCTACCCCAAATCCCCTCTCCACACACACCAAAAAAAATGAAACGCATGTAGACTTTGTTTTTTTTTTTTTCCACTCCATTTTCGACAGGGTCTACATACCCCTGTATGTAGTTTTGGTTTATAGTCAAGTGACCCCATTTTCGAGATCCGCCAGGGCAGTATACTACCTGTAGTATGTACAATGTGCGTGTTTTAATGAACAGTCAGGTGCATGTGCAACTAGCACTGTTACGCACCGATACAGGCAGACAGTGATTCAGCATGGAGAAGCATACAGATTTTGCATCATATAAGAGGATTGAAAAATCCAGACCCTCTTATGATAACATGAAAAATACTGGCACTGTATTAGAAAAAAAAAACGCCCTACCAATATCTAGGACCTACCAGAAAGAGCCACATGTATACATATAAATTGTATACGTATATACCCGTAGACTTGCTGTTAGTCAGGACTTACACATGCTGAGGACAGTAGTCAGGTATGTCCAGTCTTCTCCCAAGTTTTAGGAACTGTAGAACATCCCATCCGTCTACACCAGGATACGGTACCTTACCACGAGTGAACAGTTCCCAAAGTAGGACGCCATAGGACCACTGTGGACAATAGAAACATTTATATAATTATATTTATAACGTACCTTATACTGCGAGTGAACAGTTCCCAAAATTGTACGCCATAGGACCACCGTGGACAAAAGAAACGTTTTATATAGTTCAACTAATACCTTACTGAATACAAGGATGATTTGACATTTATAGTAATAGTATAAAATAACATAGCATACATAATTGCACAAAGCCAATATTGAGCAATAGAAAGTTTAATATAATTTCAACAGTCGGAACAGTTACTGCAGTATGGACAATTATAGACATCAGTTATGATACCCTCCCTTTATTGATACGATGATAAAATAATGTATTATGAAGGGGAAACAAAAAGGAAAACCCCAAAACAAAAACGTTCTAAATCGTACAGGACTGAGAAAAGTACAGGTCATATATAATACTTTTATATATATCACGATATTTCCTGATTATTTAATTTTTTCCTTCCATTTTCTTATTTATATGTCGATAAAACTTCTTTACATATTCAAATAAATTTGATTTTTTACGTGTCTATTAATTAGCTTATTGCTTTTGATATAAAATATAACGCCCAGTAATGGGCACAGCAGTAAATTTCGGAGTGAAAATAGATAAAACCGCATGCCCATACCACATCAGATCTAAATGTGTAGACGTTCCTCTCCATGGACTCTGGCGCCATCCACTTCACCGGCAACTTGGCCTGCTTGTCTCTGGAGCTGTATAATTCCGTGGTATAAACGTCACGAGTCAGTCCAAAATCGGCCACCTTGGCGCGCAGTTGGTCATCTAGCCTAAAAATATAGCAAAGATGGGTAAGTTTTTATCACCAATGATTACTATTCAAATGTCAACTTCATCTTCCAAACTGACAATGACCTGACTCTTGTAGATTTGGTTGAACATTTGCTTGGCTCCACTCTGATATAATACTAACAATTACTAGCAAATGTATCCAAAGTGCGTCAGAGACTAGGGCCTGTATTATTTACAGAGTTTATAACACTTGTAGTTTGAAAATCTCAAAAGAAAAGCGATTTTCTCCAGTTTTGCTTTTGGAAGAACCTGTTCCTCAAGCACCCCCCTTCCGGCCAAAGCAAAAAAAAAAGGTATTGTGTGATCTACCCTACATAAAGGTTATATGTTCTGTTGTGACGGAGAATATTACTCACATGCAGTTTCTAGCAGCCAAATCCCGATGGACAAATTTGTTCTCAGCAAGGTATTCCATGCCCCGGGCTACGTCCAAACCAAACTGCAGCAGCTGTAGTCCAGTAGGTACCTAACGTAACATAATATAGTTTGAAGCTGTCAATAGTATGAAGAAACAATACGTTATAACGGGTTTTAAATTGGAATAAATTCAGGATCCTACCAGCGATTTCAGTATGTCTGAATTAATATCTAAACAATGATATTACAAACACTTCGCTTTATCTTCTTGAATGTTTTCTAGTAAACTATTATGCGTTTAATAGCAAGGCCAGTCTGATCTTGAACAATTATGACCTTTCTCCAAACTCACAACAACATTTCTTACGCACATTCTTAGGATTCTCGATGTAAGTTTTGAGATCTCCATTGGCCATGTACGGTAATATAATCATGGGGTTGCCGTCAACTTCGAAGCATATCCCGAGTATTGTCAACACGTGATCATGGCGGAATGACGTCATCAGAGCTCCTTCTCTGAGGAATTCATCTAGGTGCTGAATGTCTGCACCCTTTCCTGCAGGAAAGGTGTCGTTCATGTATTAAAGACCAATGTGCACAGATAGATTGTATGCAAAACCTGTTGTGCGTAATGTCAATAAGTGCTTCATTATTTTTTTACCTAAATCACAATTATCAAACAAATTTTAAATATATATGCGCATTGACATGTTAACAATTTTTTCTTTGAAACTATAGAAAATCAGATTGAGCAAGCATCATGAATAGATGTCTATTTATTGATCCTATTTAACTGCAAGACAAAGACTGAACACTTTTGAAGCTGTACCTTGAAACGTTTTCACGGCTACTTTAGATGGGTTGTAATGTTCGCTGTCTTCGTAAGTCGCTTCAAATACACATCCAAAGTGCCCTGAAACAAACAAATAAATACATATATAATGCATATGCAGACACTTATAAAACATTTGTCGCTCGCTCTATACCAAATGCATATTGCATCATTGCTTAATCAAATATATAAACATGTTTATGCGGAAAATAAATTAAGACCCAGAGTGATTTTTCATTACATCGTAACATGTTTGTTACTCGATGGGTACTTACGCACCTGTGCCTATTAACTTCCCAATTTTAATCCGATCTCTGCTCACCAGTACAGGCTTGAGAGCAACCTTTAAGTCACCATCCTTCACCAGCATCAAGGCGTCCTCTATAGTGTTGATAACACGCGGTGGTGTGATTTGACTGCTTAAACCAAGGTACTCGGTGTCATTGGCGCCATTGTGTTTGGTAGTAGTGCGTTTTGCACGTCTTTTATAGACTATGACTCCGGTAACAATTCCAATGACAGTTAGAGCAACAATAGGGACAATTAGCCCGGCTACCCAGCCATAGCTGCCTGGAAGAGGAGGATCCCCATAGTTCAGATACCCTACTAGGTACTCTAAATTACCCATGCGTATCTGAAGAGAATAAATGCATTCCAATTAAATACATAACAGTATTCTGTAAAATAAGTACACAGTGACTTAACTACCAGCAATGTAATTGCAAAACTAACATGTAATTATAAAACTATAATATCTTATGCAAATTAGCAATGAGTAACCTAACAGGGCAACGTAATATTTCTCAGAGAATTGTGTTCTTCAGGTCATCATTTAATTAAGAAATTAACTTTTGATGGAGAAGAATTGTTTACTTTGATGAGCAGTGGACAGTCACCCTGTATCATTCATAAAAATACATTCCAAACAAACAAAAAATCAAGGTTTACAATGGTACAGAATACTTACAGTTACCAGTTTATCTCCGTAGTCAAAATGTGGCGGTGTGCAGACAAGAACACTGGGAGCCAAACCCGTGACGTCACAGTTATGTCCACCAATCAGAACAGTCACATCTGCTTCGCTTGCGGCAAGGTTGAGATAATGTCCCTGTTGAACGATAGTGAGTTATATGTAAGTATGTTATAATCAAATCTTAAAATGAAGTCTGTGATTAAATGGGTTCAGGAATTATGAACTGATTGAATATTCGACATTAATGAATATGAAATATTTTTGAGAGTGAAAGGTATGCCTACGTAATATGTATACTATTTAAACACAGATCCCACATAAGATATGTGAATGGAGAAGTTTGAAAACAGGTGTGTGGCTACCAATTAATTGACTACGGAGACTGTAAGACTGCTGCATTGCGCAATATTCAAAGATTTAACCGGGTAGTGCTCTTTGGGCTAGTCATAGCTTGGCCTTAATTGTGGTTAAGTAGGTTCAGGGATTAGGACCTGACTGTAAGAAACTCCTTCCGTTTTTAAATATCAATGGTCTTTATGTCCCATTAATTTATGTTTGCATTTATTGATTTATTCTCTTTTATTTTTATTTATTTTTCTACGTATGAATTTTTCACTCTGAATATGGACTTGAACAAAGATTAACTCACACGTATTACGAAGCTAGTGTTACTTTGATATTTCACACTAGAACCGTCGCTGGTCAAATTCTGGAACAACGGGTCCACAACATATTGAAGAGAAGAAATTATTTTGGTTAAATTCTGCACTGCTAGCACTCCGTCCATTACAAAGCCAATCTTCGCAATGGTATTGGTGTCTGACTCTCTCTTAAAACGCAAGGAACCTGAAGTGTCTGGTAGGCCTATCGTTTGGTGAATCCCCTTAGGCGCTCTTGGAGACGGGCATGTTAATGTAGTACTGGACATTTCTGGTATATGGAAACAATCCTGACAGAATAAGAAAATAAAGAATTAGATGCCAAGATGAAAAGCGAAAAGGCTGCATTATATGCAAATCAACCAAGAATTCACTAAATAATATAATAATTATATATATTGATTATTTACACAATGTCTGTATAAAAATAGCTTGGGGGTTCGGGTTGCCCTTTCTTCACTATGATAATCAAAGGACCAGCCCATTACCTTAAGAACATTAACACACACTAACCACTGACAAGTAGATACATTACACGTAACCACTAATACTCAAGTACCCCTATAGAGAGCAAAAGAGAGAGCAAAAAAAAAAACATTTGCTTAATTGCGTGAGCATTGCCTTTCCCTTACCGTCGTTTCCGACTTTTCATTCCCGTTCCATACAAACATCTTTGGCTGTTGAATTGAGTCAAAATTCTTCCCAGTAACTGTCAATATCCGACCTCCGCTGAATAATATGAATAATTGTGACTAAAAACGCCTCTGTAGTGATATCCTATACTCCGTTTTTAAAATTCACAAAATGCAAAAATTATGGAAACAACCATAGGCGTACTGTCAGTACACTTCTTATCACACCCGGCCTTCATGTACGTTACCTGACGAAACTAGTTAGTGGCATTATCTTGTCCACCACAGGGTCCTCAGTGTATGTGAAGGGACCCTGGTCCAGCATTCTTACACTACCGTCAAAGAACATCCTAACAGAGGTCACGACCTTTGGCCTACTGACCCCAGGAGTGGTACAAATTGTGGAATGGCTGCCAATTGTGCTTCTGGAAATTACGTAAAATATATGTCGATCAAAATAGACTGAATTGCCATGGTTTTAAGTCTTGCATTTCTTCCGTTTTGTATAATATTCACACACACACACACATTCAGTTTATATTGTCTGTGGGATGTTTGTTTTGAACAGTTGGGAGACCAACACGGTCTTTAAGTACATTAATTAAATGTTTTTTTTACAGTAATTGTTGAAAAAATGCCAATGTTACCCTGTCTAACTAAAGCAGTGACTTTTTATTTAGTCCAACTTGAAATACATATTTAGCACAAAAATTAAAGATTGACGCATGAAGTCTATGAAATTTCCTTACCTATCTACAATACAAGGCAACATTTCCTCCTCTAGGGTTAGGCTGATATTGTCCAGGTTGCCAGCGTTAAGATCTGTCCCCCTCACAGTCAGCCTGGTGCCACCAGACATGGGGCCTTTCACTGGGAACACTGTCTCCAGCCTGGGGTCCTGAAAGGGACAATTAATGGGAAAAATTATTTGTATTATTATTATTATTTTGATGGGAAAAGTGACAAAAAACGGACTTGCCTCTGGTAAACGACGATTTGGAATTTATTTTATCACTATGTATTGTTTACATTGTATTAATTGTGGAATTTTAAATCTCAAATAAAGAGTTATCCCTTTAAAAACACGCTTAAACTGCATGTAGCCTAATTACATCACAATCAATTATTAAATGGCAAAACATCATTAAAATACATTCATTAAATATGCCAGATTTAATATTCTACCACCAGTATTTGTCATTACACCTTCCCATCAAGACCAGTGACGTGAATATAGTTGTACTCCAAAGGACCTACGCACCATGTATCTAAACTGTTTGGAGTAGCTGTATGACCTAATTAAACCCTTGACCTGGATCTCTATGGAACCATTTCTGGCCAACCTGCCTGGAGCTTCAGCTGCAGTGCACACAATTCTTAAATGATGCAAAACATGATTTTGGGAAATAAAAGAGTAGAAGAAATGGTTTTGTAGATAAAGCAGCTTACGGGGTCTAGTGGACACATAAGGCTGCCAAAAAATCTGGATTTGCGATTGATAATGAAAAAATGTATTCCTGTAAGTAAAGTCTTACAATTCTATCTGTTACACTTGTCATTTAATCTCTATACCAAAACGCTATCCAAGAAGTCAATAATGCATTGACTTACTGTTGTTATATATGTCTAATTTCCTATAACTGAAATGAATTTTTGGACAACAATACCCGTGGTCATGGGAATTGAGCAGGTTGAGACACTGTTCTTTACCTCTTTGAGACCACATAATCTTCTACAACAGGTCTACAGATCACCCCAGCCAGTGTTACAGTGGGTATACTGGCATCAGAGGTCCCTAAATTGGTGCCATTGATGGTGACCTTTGTGTGACCTTCAACTGGGGCACTCAAGGGAGAAACCTGACAGACAATGGTTTAACTTTAAAATGTCATCATATTCCCAGATATACATGCTTATTAATATTTTTTATCGTGGTCCAATTATCTTTAAAATATATAATAACGGTTTGTTAAACAAAAATTTAAACGTTTGTCTTATAAAAAATGTTTGCTTGGCTACCACATTGATAAGCATATCCATGAGAAACTGGAAAATTAAGATAATTACTATATAAGATTTCTAAATCCTACATAAAACAGATCCTGATGGTTGAAAAGACATTACATTTACAATATATTAAAGTACCAACCCAGTTAATGATAACATTAGGACAAATGTTTTCTGCTGGCACACTGCATGTTGGGTGATACTTGCACGTCCCTCCACAGAAAGCACATCCAAACTTTACATCCACAGCACCAATACATGTGCCACATGTGGTCCCCAGGATGTCACACTTGTACAGGGTGGCTAAAATAACAGTAACATCATCGTGTAATGGTGTACCATAATTACCAAAACATGTGTGACATATACTACCAATAAACGTTACACTTGTGTTGCACATACAATGCAGTTGTAACCATAAAAATAATTGACAGTAATCCCAGAAAACTTCCAATAAAACAACAGATTTACGAAGTATCCTTACATGTGAAACATGTAAACATGTGAAAACCCATGCTTCATCCTCTGAGGAGCATGTCAAATGAATCTTTCTCAGAAGGTAAGATAATATATTTAAGCATTCACACATTCCAAACTTTACATATATTACATACAAATGAGCAAAAATGTTCATTAGCTTGGTAGTTGATAAACATGAAAATTCTCAGACACAAGCCTAAAATTTTCCGTACCGTTAGCTTACGGCCAACCTGGTCGAAGGCCTTCATCAGACTGACGTGAGTAGTTGTTCTCACTCACTGACCGCTAGGTGGTATAGCGGCCAGGACCCTCTTATAAATGTCAGGTAGATCAACCCCCCCGTCCCTGTTCATGGGTGGCTGGTGTCGGCTGATGTTAATAGCCTCTCGTATTTTTCGTGGGATGTCGGATGATTCAGATTCAAGAATCTTAGTTGAATTCCAATCGATTTTGTGGCCGGTGTCTATTACATGTTCAGAAATGGCAGAGCTGGTATTGCCTACAGTCACTGATTTCCTGTGTTCATTCACCCTGATCTTCAACTGTCTACCTGTCTCACCAATGTAAAAGGAATTACAGTCATGGAAATTGATCCTGTATATTGTCCCACAACGTTGTTCTTGGGGGGTTTTGTCCTTTGGTGCCACTAGGTGTTGTTTCAATGTGCACTGGGGTCTAAAAGCTGTGTTGACACTGTGCTTTTTGTAGATCCTGCACACTTTCTCTGAAATTCCTTTACAATAAGGGAGAATCACTAACTGTTTTTTTTTTTTTTTTTTTTCTGACTGTATCTGTTGGCTCACAGTTAGTTATTGCTGTCTTATCCTGACGAGGTTTGGTCTTTAAAGCCCAAGGTGGGTAACCACACATCATGAGAGCCTCAGGGTCCTGGCCGCTATACCACCTAGCGGTCAGTGAGTGTGAACAACTACTCACGTCAGTCTGATGAAGGCCTTCGACCAGGTTGGCCGTAAGCTAACGGTACGGAAAATTTTAGGCTTGTGTCTGAGAATTTTCATGATTACATACAAAGTTTGAGGTAAAAAAGAAGTAAAGCCAATTGGTGTACATTACATACCACTGACTTGAGAGCCTGTTGGTTGATCTATCACATGGTTATTATTCCAGATTACTTGGATTTGGTGTCTCTCCTGGCCTGTATTGACTGTGTATATATACTGGAAAAATGGACGGTAAAACCCCATTAAACAGAGCCAATCGCCTTTTTAAACATTAGTCGACAGAGCTCAAATAGGAGAAAACTGTCTTTATCTTAGAAAAACAGTTCTATTTATAACATATTTAGAGTTTCAGGATACTTCCTAATTTATTAAAATATGCCTGTTTGGAAAAGGACAGCAATAGGCCAAATTTTGGACTAACATATGTCAATATATGACGAGGTTTCACAGTGACATGTGGATTTTCTCAAGGAAGTGGTCGTCTAATATTTCTGTTATTTGTCCTTTGTTGGAACGAGTTGAATGCTCCCTGTCTTCGGAAAAAGCGACAAGTTCATATCTAATTTTTTTTCTAATGGTATGCTTTTTGTGTGATGATATCTACTCACAGCGTGGCCCTGACAGTCTATGGCACTATCATTCTGTCTGATAGCTGGGACTGTGTTAGTGCCTATCTTACATTGGTAACCACCTTGGCCAGCCTGGAATAACATTTGGGCAAGGTGGAGAATAACCAAAATGATCGCAGAGGGCCACAGCAAAATGTAAAATTCCATTAACCTATTTTTTATTAAAAGCACTGTTTTAAGTTTGAATTTCTGCTTCATGTCGATCTTGTCATTGGCACTGATTCGATACTGAACTTGTAAATATGCAAAATCACAAATTATCTTCCCATAATTCTAAGGTTCTATATTGCTAAAAAACAGAAGTTCCAAGAGTGTGTTCCTACATGCACTAATAAGTAACAACGGCGTGATTAAGAAACACATTTAAGTTACCTGTGGCACAGGAAGGTTCTTCCCACTCAGTGAGATCACCTTGATGACCCCAGCAGGTAACAGGATGTCCTGTGCACGTGGCAGGAGCTGGGGGCACATGGTGGGACCTTTAATACCAACACTGACATGGCTCTGAAATGACGGAAACTACACAACTCAATTCCTTATTCGTAAAATAGGTTTATGTCAAAGTAATAAAAGTTAAGTGTGTGATATTCGTTTAATTCTCCTGTTGTGCTTCACGTGCCTCAAACATGAAAATTAAGATGTTTTTGTTTCTGCATCGCTTGATTTCTTGATGAAAACTAGTCCCACGTACTCATTTAAAATAACAACACTGCTGTTCTACTTAATGTTGTGGCGTTTTAGATAACATGATGATAATAAATTGATCAACCTACCAACACAATCTCAATTTTGTTTGATTTCTAATGTCAACTGTTTACATATGACTAGAACTGTCTGGCTTGAAGATTTTAATGGACAATAAAACATATACAAAGAATAAATCGAACGTACATTCTGTCCTGGTATCACCCCTCCACTAGGACCACAAGTACTGCTGGCGTGGGTGCATCTGTTAGCATATATACACCAGTCACAGGCCCAACTACTGCTGGTACAGGACACACACCTACAGTAATAATACATACATACACGTGTTAGCATATATACACCAGTCACAGGCCCAACTACTGCTGGTACAGGACACACACCTACAGTAATAATACATACATACACATGTTAGCATATATACACCAGTCACAGGCCCAACTACTGCTGGTACAGGACACACACCTACAGTAATAATACATACATACACGTGTTAGCATATATACACCAGTCACAGGCCCAACTACTGCTGGTACATGTACAGGACACACACCTACAGTAATAATGCATACATACACGTGTTAGCATATATACACCAATCACAGGCCCAACTACTGCTGGTACAGGACACACACCTACAGTAATAAGACATACATACACGTGTTAGCATACAACATTGGCCAAAAAGGTTGTCCCACCCCTGATTCCATGTGCTTTTATTTACAAATTATCAAGTCACCGGTGAAAACTGTTCTAAACAATGCTTTTTACTCTAGATAACATTACTTACATGATTAATCGTTCAGAAAATACAAGTTATCGGCGAAAAAGGTCTAAATTTCGTGATATTAATTCAAAATTAAAGTGTGCACCCCCTCAAATCCGGCGTTTCACTTTGAATAACCACAGTGGTATAGAAATGTCGGTTAAACTAAAAAGACACCTCCAAATATCACTAAATTTACTCAAAATTAGCATTAGGGTGTGCTCGTTAAAGGTCACATGTCTCACAGCGTGTGTGTCTACCGCGTACTGCAATTACAGGTAATGTAAAGATTCACTGTTTTATGGAACTGTTTTATGTAAATATGCGCGACTCCAATTAGAACACGTGCGTTAAGTGTGTGTAGCTTGGTGGCTGACTTTACCTGTATGCAAAAGTAGCTCGCCTTATTTGGATGAAAGGGTCTCAGCTTGGTCGCAGACTTCCGTTATCTCTGTTACCCCCCCCCCCCTCCACCATCACCACCCCACCCCTACAGCTTGGCAGTTAATGCTTAAAATGAGAGCGAGAAACAATAACACAGAATGAATATTTTATTGGGGGGCCTAATATCTGAGATTTATGAAGCTGCTTATAGAGCAATCGGTATATGTAATCTACAGGTACTACTCATCTTAATAATTGCAATTTCATAAATAACCTACCTTTTACCATACAGAAATTAATTTAGAATTTGACAGAGATATACTAGTGTATGAGAATATATATCTTGTGAAAAAACAATTTTAGAGACGAATGATAGTCGTGCAGATAGACAAATGGGGTCAGTCAAGTGTAAATGCCCCCAGGCCACCATCCATGGAGAATATTCAGGAGAAGCACCAATTAATTAAAGTGATTAATACATTCATATTTTTTAAGTAGATATTTTATTGTGCAGATATTGATGAACTAATTACTGCCTGAATTATTAATTAGCATTCAAAATGACCTATTTTTACAAGATAAGATGGCGGTCAAAATCTGACCAATTTTTGCAGTGAAGATATTTTCCTTTAATTGAAATATCAGACCTATAAATATGCACGAAACCAACAAAGGTTGATCATAAAAGGTGTGCAGCTAATGAACTCAAACATTTTACTACTTTTCATACTTGAACTAACCCCCCCCCCCCCCCCTTTGTGCACCATAAAAAAAACAACAAAGATCGACTTTTAAAGGTATGCAGCCAATGAACTAAAACACTTAAGTACTTTTTAATACTTGAACTATCAGGACCTCCCCTCCCAGCAGGCCAACAGAAGTAATTATCATTGTTTTGCTGTCACTATTAACAACATGGGGAAACAACAATGAAATATGATTATGTCATGATGCAACTTCTGTGAATATTTGAATTATAGATTCTTCAAACATGGGAAAGCATATATGGTGTTGTTTGGGCAGTGTTGTTTCAAAGCCATTGGAACAACAGGTAAACATGGGTGTGGCAGAGAGGCGATTCACTAGCAGTAAGGCCTTATTTGCAGTGCAGTTTCTTGTGGTTTTCTTTCAAATAACAGGTAAGGGTATTTAAAAGAAAATAAGTGCTTTAATTAAAGTTAAATGTCAGTATTTATGGCGTGTTTATGTAATGCATAAAGTCTTCTTTATGAAATATATCAAAGGGAAAGGAGGAGATTTTGATAACAAAGTAATCTCCCAACATGTGCCACTAAGTTCTGGCAAGATGTGAAGGAATCTTTTCAAAAATTGCTATCATCTCATTTTCATCTACAGGTGTTTATGGTGGAAATTTCGCTACACTTTCCTTGTTTATGGGTTTTTATTGTCATTTGCCAGGCGTATGCAATAACATCGCTGGTAGATATAAACTCTTAGTCCAAAAAATGATCACATGATAGCTGTTAACCGATTTAGAATAAAAAATATATAATTCTTATTCTATATACTTATATTTAACGTGACCTAGAATAAAGAAATGCCAAAACATCGCTGAAGACATACACATTTTATACCATTAGGAATATGCACCCATCAAACTAGAGTTTTATTTAATGATCTTCACATAAAAAAGTAATGGCCATAAAATCGAAAAGATGTTACCGTTTTCATCAAATTTACAACAGAATACACGCTTCAAAAGTCACTTGTCTAATAACACGTGCGTTTACGGTAACTGTACTTATCTCCTTTAAGTTGCATGGCATGCCACCAACCCAACAAGGGTAACCGATGTGTTTAGTGGGAAATTGTCCCATTACTTTTTAAACTTCTTGACAGAGGCCCTTCAGATTATTATGAGGATTTTTTTAACTTTCTACTCTAGAATCCCAAGGACAAGTTTGTCCACCGGCTTCGAACCCCACTGTGCTGACAGCCCCGGTGACCATAGACCCTTGGCCTGGAGATGACAAATTTTCCAGCAACTTTGACTGTTACTGGAAAGTAAACGCCCCATACGGAGAGGTATGGTCTTTGTCTTCAAGTAACAAAAGGAATAGAATAAAATGGCGGTCATATGGTTTCTGTACGTTTTAATTAATTGTAGAAGTCAGTTATGCGATTTTCTTCCTGTGTTTGTTACTGGGACAAACGTTACCTGAACACGTTTCTTTACTTTTGACTCAAGCATTTCTACATGAGGGTATAATTTGTATTCCTCAGGAAGAGACCGTTAGGCAATGAGTAGATTTCAACAGCACACAAGTGCTTCATGAAAATTGTGTACATGATGTTGCACATCCCTTTTAGATACCATGCACCTCTTTTGACGTCTCGTAGCCGTAGCTTTTTCATGAAAGGCTAGGTCATACTTTAGTTTTGTAATGAATGTAGAGAAAGAGATTGATAAAGGATTGGTGATGAGTAAACGGGGTTTGACAGTGGGAACAAAGCTGAATCCAAAGCTCTTGCTGTTTCTCTCTACATGATCTGCGACTTGATCATCGGCCTTTGCATCTTACAGCTATGTTTTATGCCCTTAATTTCAGGAATTGGGTTACACAATCGAGTCTTTCGACGTGGAAGATGATTTAACTTGCAGTTATGTATTTCTAAAGATAAGTGGCGTTTCGGATTCGGGCGGTTTCAAAATATATTGTGGGGGCTCGCTAGCCAGTGGTGTCTATGGCAGTCCAATTAACATTGTTTTTCACAGTAAGGATTCTGTTGTTGCATCTGGATTTCGACTTGTGATTATTCCACGTGAGTGGCAACTCTCTCTCTCTCTTTCTCTCTCTCTCCTTCTGTCTCCCTCACTGTCTGTATATTTACAGCTCGTCCATATTTTGGCACTATCATTTGTATCGACTCCAAGTGCAAATTGCCCAGTTAATCATAAAATTGCATGTTTTTATACTATTAGCGAGAAAACCCGAAAGTTAACGGCGAAGCCTGCCAAGACGTTTAATGTTCGCGTAAAAGTGAAATTAAAAAGGACATGCAAACTCATTTCAATAGCTTAAAGTTTCCATGCACACAAACACACACACATACAAATAATTTGAAGTAAAAACGTGTTGAAAAGTGGGTTTTTCTTTCAGTTTTGGGAACAGGCTTTCAACCAACCTATTTATTGGTACCAATGTTGTTGACCCACGTATCATTGAACCTGGTGACTGGTTCCGAGACGGCTTCACCAACGGAGGCAGGCACAGTCAAGCCGTTACAAACTGAACAGCAGTCTTCAGCACCACCAAACTTCGATGCCTCAACCTATACCCCAATCCAAAATGGGCAACCGCATTTAGTAACTGGTGCTTCCGGCTCATTTCAAACGACAGGACCTTATTCAACCCCAAATTCAACCTGGACTATTCTCTCAACCCTCGATTCAATTCAGTCTCAATCAGTACCATCATTGTCCATGTATACCATGTTTCAGATGACGCCAACGCCTTCAAAATCCATTACATACCCACCCATTCAGCCATCAGCAAGCCCAGAGTCACTTGAATATGTGCCGGCGCAGTCGGTCACCTTAAATTGGCAATCAGCAACAAGTCTGTCTACAAAGCCGAGCAATGTTACTTCCCCTGCCACTACCAAGTGGAGTACTGAGGACGCTGTCGGCAAATACAGACAAAAGGTTCAAGAAGAAGAAGAGGCAAGGAAGATGGCGGCTACTGTAGGCTGGGTCACGACAGGAGCCATAGCTGCTGTAATAATTGTAACAGTGGGAGTGGTTTTGTTCATCAAATGGTATGTTCATTAATTCATTATCATTTGAGCTATGTTGGTTTTCAGTTCTCTGCATTTCATACCGCGGTGTCAGTACTTTGACATTTTTTACATTGTTTTGCATCCAGAGTTACACCTGGTATTTCATTCTGTGACATAGTTAATATGACATGATATGATAACTAAACTTATATTTATGTTTATGTCATTCGTTTTTCCTGTTTCTTATGAGTGGACTAATCGATTTTTTGAAAAGTCACACTCATTCTGACTCCTATATTATAACAAAATAACGTTTTGATAATATATTACGGATATTATTTGTCTGTAAGCATTGAAATAAGTCTGGAGAACATATCATTTTGTCTTTTTCAGGAAAG